ATTTGAAATGTTACACTAATTTTTTATATTGTGCAACGTAGCTTTACAATACACGGCAAACATTCTGGCAATAAAAAAGTAAGTGATAAACTGGATTTGAATTGGATCTGGACTTGATCTCCAATTTAGAGAGGTAACAACTATATACTGGCGAAGTTTCAGAAGCAATGAGTTCTGTATAGCGTTTCATGTAACAACAAACTTCCACTATGCTCTGTAAAATAAATTCCAAGTCATGTGCCCACTAATTTATCATTGGCCGAAATGGGGCATGCTGCAACAAAACCAGACAAAGTGAACATTGGTATTATAAGAATTTCAGGGATCAATATGTTTGTCTAACATCACAATTATATTATCATGTAATGTGATCATGATATTTGTCTAGACAAAAATAGTTAATATGAAGTTAATTTACATTAGGTCTACTATGGAACCCAAGAATTATAGTACCATCAGAAGTATTTTAAAAAAAGGGACAAGGTGAAAAAATTGCTCCTTATATTTTCAAAATAAATGATACTCAGACACTGGAAGCTTATCTAAGAAAAGAAAGAATTACCTATGAAATTTATCAAGAGAAAAGTAAGATTATAACTAATAAAAGAAATTTAACACAAAGTTTATGAAGAACCTAAAAAGAAAAGGAAGTTTGAAGAAAAATAAACTTCTTAGTGTAATAAACATGTGTAATTAACACTACTTTGGTTAAATTTTTTCTTCTTGTCAAATATACAAAAACTCCTATTGCCACCCCTATTATTTCTCCTAATAATAAATAAGATAAATAATTGGTTGAGTCAGTTGAGGGTAATTGTTCTTGCTTTTGCTCAGTAACTATTTGGTTAAGTTCCAATTGAGATAAAGAGGTTTTACTAGTACTTTTTAAATAATTAAATATTTGTTGTAACCAACTTTATTATTATTATTATTATGGTATTCAACTACTAATATATTATCACTCTTAAGAAAACAAAAAACTGTTCTAATTGTTCCAAATCAGAAAGAGAGAAAGGTTTTGGTTCTTCTCCCTCAAATTCATAAACATTTTTATTTTCATTTTCTAACTGCTCTTTTTTTTTGCTTCTCTTTTTCTTTTTTTTTGTTCTAATTCAGTTAGTAAGTTAGTAACTTGTTCTTTAGTTTCTTCACTTAGTAAGTCCTGGTCTAATGATTCTAATTCAGACATTAACCCATTAGAAGACATTTGATCTTGATTAGTTAAGAGGCCTTGAGCTTTCTGGTTTTCTTCCTCTTCCTCTTCCTCTTCCTCTTCTGTGGTTTTTACTCTCCTAGGTTCTCTTTTTAAAGGATTTTCTACAAAATTCATATAACAAATGTTACATAAAAC